TCCGACCTCGAACTGTTCTATTATGATTTGCATAAATATCTACATGTGTGTCTCCTCTTTAAACCATTCTAAAATCATATATTCATTCGACCGAAATTGTAAGACTCTATCTTTCAAATAGTTATATCCAATTATTTCTTCTACTATATTTCTCATTAATCATAAATTATTTTCTTAAAAGAGTTAGATATCAATGTTTTTTTAAATAACATATAAGAATGGATCAACCCGCCCGTCCTGCCTCCTATCCATACGAATATTATCCAACCTGACATACACAAGGGGTCGTTTGGTTTTGGTAATTGTTTGGTTGGGATGTTCTGCACAAACAATACATGCATTGTTTGCTTGATGTGATGGAAACTATAACTCAAAATGAGTGATAGTACTATCTCTACTAAAATTTGAGATTGTTGAGATAGTTTTGAGGAGATTGTTGGATTCATTTTTTGTTCCAAATATACTCCTAGTTATATATATATATATATATATATGGATACGACTCGTATGCTCCAGACGCATAGTATGCTCCAGGCCCTCAGTGCCGTTGATCTAATCTACCGGCTTTAATTAATTACATTCAAATGAATTATTTATTAAAAATTATATTACAAACTACACCCTTTAAATAATTATATGTGCTATGAAGTCCCCCAACTATGATTACCATTATTTCATAGAGGTTTTGATTGAACCCCAAAAGTTTATATGATTGATAAAAAAAATTCCAATAAGATTTGGCCCGAATTAATGAATGGATTTCATCACCCAATTCGACTCCCATCATCATCACTCATCAGTTCATCCCAGCTACCCCCAAAGAACTACTTTTTTTTACGGAAATCTTCATCCCAAAGAACTACCCTTAATTTGACAATCATCATCCAAATCCAGCAAACATCAAAACCTAAAACCCTAAAGCGACCTCATCATAGCAGACAAAGAGATTCAAACTTATTCCGTAAAATTCATGTTTGAGGATTTCAGATTATACAGAGTTGTGGCTTGCAATCCTCATCCAGTCCAAGAGTCGAGCTCATCCTCGGCTTCCGACAGGCATCAACTCCACCACGTCCGCGTCCCGGTGTAGCGGACTGGTGTCCTTTCTCGACAAACCGGAATCAGTTCACGGTGTACGACCATTAAAAGGACGCCGTTGAAAAATAGCAGAGGCTGCGATGAAAAGAGAACCTCGCATCACGGCAGGGGAATTCTTGTGACCGGAGTTGAGAATAGCGGAGATAAAAGAAGAGTCACGAGGAAACAACGGCGTTGCATAACAGATGGCTTTTCGTGCTCCCTGCTAATTTTAGAGTGCCCGGATAAATGATTTGTTCCCTAATACACTACAGCGTTGCATAACAGAGGGCTTTTGAATTCTCAAAAAAAAAACATAGGGCTTTTGGTGCCGGAGAGGTGTGATGAATGGGAAGGGTAGGTCTTTTACTGCAATTTTGTTCTTGGTTTGTTTTCTCTGTTATTGAGGGTTTGTTCTTGGTTTGTTTTCTCTGTTCTTGAGGGTTAGTTAGTTGATGTAAAAGTGGATTGTGAAGGGGGATTTTACAAAATGAAAAATAGATGAGAAAGAAGATGGTGAAAGAAATGTAAACAATTAGGTGACTTACACTATGTAAAGAAGAAATAACGTGGTTTTGGGTAAAACGTAATGGTTAAAATTGTTAGGGGACTATACCGTATGTATAAATTTTTAGTAGGTGTAGTTCGTAATTATAATTATAATTCAAAAAATATTAATGAAATTAATAGTGTACCATTAGATTAGATCAATGGTGAAGAGAACCTGGAGCATACTATGCGTCTAGACCATACGAGTCTAACCCATATATATATAACATATGATAACAACTAATTAGCGGATTACCCTAAGCCCTAGACCTCCAATTTTGAGTTCTATCCCTAAACCCCAAATTTTTAACCCTAACCCTAAATCTCTAAACCCTAAATCCTTCAAATTAAAGTAAATCTTCAATGGTTTTTGTGCAAATTCATGTGTGTTATTGTTCATCACATCATAAGTGATGATTGACATCATTTTGACATAAATCGCATGTTTATAATGACGGTTATGAAGCGAGTGCACTGAATGCACCCAAAAAAGTGAGTGTACCGAATACGCCACCATATATATATATATATATTCTCATAAAAGCAAGTACAAAGGTATTTTTTCTCACAAAAAGTAATAAAACATGTTGAAAACTAAAAAAACTATCACCAAAACCAAACAATGTAAAGTACAACCCAAAACATATATCGGCTCGTTAACCTCTCGGTTATTTTTTTTTTTTGTCACGCCATGAATGAACTGGTTCTGTGCCAAATAAGGCTACAGGGAGTGGCCAGATATGATTGGACGTATGATGTGACATACTCTGAAATTAAAGGTTGGTCTACGAAAACACATACGAGAAATGAAATTGCTGTTCCCGAACGTTGTTAACACGAACTATTGGTGTTCAAAACTGTGATGAAAGGTGGCCTTTCATCAGGGTATACGGCCAACATGGTTGATCGTTAATTAGAAAGTAATAATGGGCGAGTTAATTACATTGTTTATAAGCCCAACTGTCAACTGTCATGCGTTGTTTGGTCAGTGGAGATTAGAATAGAGATATGGCGAAAGAAAGACTTATAATTACGGTGGTACTATAACCCATGTGGCCTATATATGTTTTGACATTTGGCTGTGTACTGTACGTAGAAATGAAGAGTGGTGGTGGAGTGATCATCAGTTAAGTTAAGTAGTGTTTTGGAACTGTGGCGATTGACTGGTCACTGTGAGCGATGATCAGATCAGATCAGATCGAACTGAAAGTGAAACCTGCAGGCAATGAAGCTACTTTGATCGGTCCGGTCCGATGGGTAGTTTTAACGATATACATACGGCGTGCATGTGCGCGGTGGGTGGTCCAGGTCCGACCGTACTATTCTCCCTCCCACTCACGCCCAAGCTAGTTAATTATAAGCTTTCCGTCTTTTTGTTTTTTATTTTTTTAACTCCCCTGTTTCTTTAATTTACTACTCTATGTTTTATCGTCTTTTAAGGTTTCCATGAAATCACGGGTCTGCTGAATATTATTCGATCTATTTGTATGTGGGAGGATGCAGGAAACTACTTTTTGATGAAGAGATGCAGGAAACTACTTTGCTCTGCTCTGCAAGAGAGCTTCCCAGGGCGTTTTAGAGATGTACACCAAGAAGAAGAAGAAGATAAGAAGTAGAAGCAGGGGAGACTTTATATAAAGAGTTTGTTGTATTGTAAAAAACCCAGCTTCATATTATACTTTCTGATTGGACCATGGTAGTGAATAATCACTGACCGACGAGGAGTGCTCTCCTTATAACATAGAACTGCACGTATAAATGTGTGCTTCGTCCTTCCTTCCTCGGCCTTGACAAGGACACAGTGAGATCGATCTGATAGATGGAACCATCACATAAGTGCAAGACTCCTCCCCTCTGCCCCACTCTGTCTCTTCCCCCACTAGTTCATCAGTGGACAGTAAGAGTCAGGATGCTTAAACTGCTTTATTGTTGACACTCTAATAATTTTCTACAGGATATTGATTTGTGGTATGTATTAGATTATTTTTGGTCTATATGAACTAGCTTTAATTTATAGCTAGTTCGAGGATGGACAAATAACTATATCCGTGGATATCCGGCCACTTGAATTCGAACTAACCGGATAGGGTAAGATCAAAGATTCTAAAATCATATATATCGGAAGTTGTCCATAACAATTTAATGACGGGGTATTTTGTGTTGAAATTGTGGTTTAACTCAGGTTCAACCGTTTTATACAGCTGAAAACCACCTACCGATTTAGACTATAGTAAGAGGTTTTTTTGTTCGGACCACCGATATGGTATGATTTCACAAACATCGGGTAGAAGTGTAAAACCCGAACTCGAAGGGTTTTTAATGGGTATAGGTAAAATCCGCCAAGTTTGAGGGGGTGAACACGATTTTCTCACTATCCAACACGAATAAGTATATTGTTCAAAAAGTATCATTATTTTTCTCAATACATAATTGATATTTGTTACACACATATATAATATTTTTTATGAAATTGTACTATTTTTAACTAAATTTCCTCATTTTATTAATTCATTGTTGTACTTTTCACTTACGTAATGTCCGTACACCTGTAAATATTAACATGTTGGTTAAAGTTATAAAATAATAAATTATTATCTATGTATAATTGAAGATACTCGAAACCCGAATGATTATGGTATGATATTTATATTCTACCCAATTCTTATATGAGTACGTATATGAGTTAAATCATAACTATTTTATAGGATAATAATGTATATGCACAATCCGCCTCTAAAAGAAGAACCTACAAAATCCAAACCTACCCGTTAAGTCTGATTTTTTTATTAGAGAACCAATGGCAATATCTAATCGGAGTCCAGTCCCAGTAAGAAGGACAAAAAAGCAGCGCATACTGCGAAACATATCCATCTAACCTAGCTACCTAAAACCATTTCCCAATTAAGCCCTTACAAAAGTGATATCTTCTTTTATAACTTCCTCTAAGCTCCCCATTTGTGTCTAATAAATTTCCAAACACCAAAAAGCAAGCATAGTACAAACGTCTGTCTATATAAAGCATTCCCCTCCTCCACCTCCACCTCCTCATCCGCCCATACCTAGCTCTTAAATTCTCAACCAAAACCCATACCATCTCCGATCCCCAAAAACTCCCACTTCCTTCCTTCCTTCCTTCATCGAAATAGAAACCTTCCCAGGTGACTCCCTCTCCCCCTCTATTTCCTCCAACTAGCTAGCACCTCACACGTACACAAGAAAACAAAGAAAACAAAATGGAGGCTGCCTTCAACTCCTCCTCCTCCTCTTCACTCCCCTTGTCCTTCTCCTACACCTTCGCCGCCGCCGCCACCATGGGCCTCAACTCCGCCGCCAACAACATGAATATCTCCTCCACCACCACCACCAACCCGTGTATGGACAGCCGGATCTGGAGCCGCCTCCCAACCCGCCTCCTCGACCGCGTCATCGCCTTCCTCCCTCCCCCAGCCTTCTTCCGCGCCCGCTGCGTCTGCAAGCGCTGGTACGGCCTCCTCTTCTCCACCTCCTTCCTCCACCTCTACCTCCACCTCTCCCCTCCCCGCCCACACTGCTTCCTCTTCTTCAAACACCAAGCCCCCACCACCACCCGCCGCCAAACCCCCACCACCACCACTCAGGCCTACCTCTTCGACCCCTACGACGTCGTCTGGCACCGCATCACCTTCCCCTTAATCCCTCCTTCCTTCTCCCCCGCCGCCTCCTCCGCCGGCCTCATCTGCTTCATCTCCGACGACCCGGGACCCAAGACCCTCTTCCTCTCCAACCCGCTCACCGGATCCATCTCCCAGATCCCCTCCCCAACCCTTCGCCCCCGCCTCTTCCCCTCCGTCGGCCTCTCCGTCAAACCCTCCTCCATCCACGTGGCGGTCGCCGGGGACGACCTCATCTCCCCCTACGCCGTCAAAAACCTCTCCACCGAGTCCTTCCACGTGGACGCCGCCGGGTTCTACTCCCTCTGGGGGACCACCTCCCCCCTGCCCCGCCTCTGCAGCCTCGAGGCCGGACAGATGGCGAGCGTCGGCGAAGGGAGGTACTTCTACTGCATGAACCACAGCCCCTACAGCGTCCTGGCCCACGACGTCGTTTCCAACTGCTGGTTCAAGATCCAGGCACCCATGCGTCGCTTCCTCAGGTCGCCTTCCCTCGTGGAGACCAAGGGCAGGCTGGTGATGGTGGCGGCCGTGGAGAAGAGCAAGCTGAACGTGCCGAGGAGCCTGAGGATGTGGAGCCTCCAGCCGTGCGGTGCCACGTGGGTGGAGATCGAGCGGATGCCGCAGCAGCTGTACGCGCAGTTCGCGGAGGTCGAGGGCGGGAGAGGGTTTGATTGTGTTGGGCATGGGGAGTTTGTGGTGATTGTGATCAGGAGGTCCGGGAATCGCGGGCTGTTGTTCGATATGTGGAGGAAGGTGTGGCACTGGATTCCGATGTGTCCCTACGTGGCTGCTGACGGTGGTGGAGATGATGATGATGAGGCTCAGCTGCGTGGCCTGCCTTATGAGCCGCGGCTGGCTACGCCGGTCACCGGCTTGCTGGATCAGCTCACCCTTCCGGCTTTCCACTCCTTCAATTAAATTAGTTAGTTATTAATGCTTGTTAAGTCGTCGTTGGAGATGTGTTTTTTAGGTTTGGTTGGTTTAGTCGTGAGTGCTTCTGTTGGGACTCGAATAGGTCAGTTGTAATCTGGGTTTGCAGCTACGTACGTACAACCCTCTTCTTTTGGCTGTATAATTCTAGTTAAGTACTTTGAGTCACAATTTCACTTATTTTACTTTATTTTTCATCAGCCGTAATCTGGATGTTAATCTACTTAATTACTCCATATATAGTGGATTATCAAACATTGCATGGATTAATACGAATCTTGTTTTTTACTTGTCCATAAAGGGATAAGCAGATACCGAATATATACAAGACATTTGCATATCAAATCACAAAATGGAAAGAAGAAAATGACGATTTGTTGTGAATCATTGATAAGAAAACATTTGGCCGCTGAATTTAGTGTTTGTGATCGTCGATTCGAAACAAACCTAACCGTAAAATGGAACTGCAAATAAAAAACCGAACACAATTCTTCCCTCCCCACCCCATTAAGCCCTAGCTAAGCTAACCCGCTCACCACTCTCAGTTCACCCAAAGCAAATTCAAAACCCAACACCAACAGTAGTCAACCCTAGCCCAACTCTCCTCTCCTCTCCTCTCAAAACGATCTCTCTCTGCCTCCCACTCCTTTCTCTCGGATCCATTAAGGAGCCAGCTCAATTTTCCCAGACAACCCCGGCCAACGGATCACCGCTCCCCCTCTCCTCTCGGTAGCAAGAATGCATCTTCGTGATCTTGTCATATTTTCCCTCCCTCCCATCCACAGCTCAGTCTCGCCGTTAAAATCTGCTGCCACTCCCGATAGCTTCTCGAGCACGAGCAGAAAGGAAAATAGATGTTGCCTGGCTGACTGGGATCCTATACACGATAAAGATCCACAGTAGCACCAACAGGCGGCGACAAAGGTGGCCGACGGTCCTACATTCGAAAAGCACCGAGATCGGAATTCGTCTCCAAATCGTTTGGTAGTGGCGGAGTAACCGGTGTTGTTGCTTTCTCTGATAACGAGCATGGCGGTTTGTTCTGAGAGAGACATCAGGAGGAAGCTGTTAGAAACAAGCCCTATTGGGGTTTCTATTTTTTTTTTTTATAATGGTGAACTGCATTAACTAGAAAAGAAAGATAAAAAAGTACATAAGATTACAGCGGCAGCAGCAGGGGTTCACAAGAACTGAACCAAAAGCTGCAAAACAAAAAACCGAAAAGAGAGGAAAAAGGCAACGGTCGAACAACTAAGTGGATCAAGCCACTCCCGTCGAAAGAAAAAAGATGGGAAAGACCCGAGGGAGACAAGAGTTAAAAGACCAACATCCAACAGGATGGATCAAGGTCAGCAAAGGCACCAAGCAAAGGTACCTAACAAACAGTCAAACATCAGGAAAAGGGGCGAACCACAGCAAGACTTAGAGGGCAGCAAGCTTTTCCCCCAATCATTGGATGCCAATGTGTCTGCTCACTTTGTTATGCACAATGATCCAATCGAACATGACTCTGAGAGCTCTCTGAGCAACCACAACAGGCGCCTTTTTGACGTTGCGGAAGACCCGCTGATTGCGTTCCAACCAAACCTGTCACCAAATGGAATGTAAAGCACAATAACTGATCCATCCAACGATGTCGTCATTCACGTCGACTTTCCACCTGCTGATGGTGGAAACAACATCTTCTCTAGGTAGATTGATAATCGACTTTAACATATTGAATTTTTGGACTTTATGTGATTATCCATGATATGTTTAAGCCGATTGGTGTTATTTTAGGGCTCGCTAACCCGGGAATGGTTGAAAAACCATTACTACCTAGTGCCATGAGTTTGATATGTTACAGGTGGAGAAAGCACGAAAAAGGAACGAGTGCATAAGCAATAAATCGGGCTCGAACTGCTGGGGACGGAACTCTTGGGACAAGAAATGGGCCAAAGCCCGTTCTACTTTACTCTTTGGACCTGAGCGAACGAAAGCAATTTTTGGGCTAGGAAATTCATTTTGGACGGGCCATTGTGAGGAATTCTCTCTGGGAACGAATTCTTTTGGGGGCATGGGAATTAAATGGCCCAAAGAAAAGAACGAAAATCTCTTTTTGGAGGCGGACTTCTTTGGAAAAGAAAGGAGAGCAGCAGCGAATTGGAGAAGGAATTCTCTGGGGCCCGAGGAAGAATTGGACACTGAATTGCCAGGAGAAAAGGAAAAAGAGAGGCGGCTGGGACTTTGGAGAGGAATTAGCTTGGAGGGCGAACTATCTCTGGAGAAAAAGCAGCGCAGCGCAGCAAGCTTGGAGACGCGAGCATCGAGCGGCGATTGGCAATCGACGATCGAGTTTTTCCTAGGCGGCTTGAACTAAGTTCAACGAGAGCGATTAATTTGGTTGGCTTTTCTAGACCGAACTAGTTGTTTATTGTTGATTTAGAACATGATGATCAAAACCCTAATGTTTTATCTTAATTTCGTCATGAACTAAACCCCGATTTCTGGGGGAAACACCATCGGATGTAGCTATTTCTTGATTTGATGGATTGATTCATGATTCTTTTCTTCCAATCTCTATTGCATGGAATTGCTTAATGCTTTGTGTTGACTGGCCACCAATACAATGAATCGTAGTTAATTAGGTTATTAGCGACAGTGAAACCCTAATAACTGAACATATTTCATGTGACATAGCAACTTATCGAAGCGACAGTGGATTAAATAAGGTGCTATGCGGTCTTAAATAGGATATCGATCTTCAGACTATATAGTTAATTCATTGAGCTACGGCAGTAGGATTTGAATTGATTATTTAGTACGTAGTAATTCCCGACAGGGATAGCTAGCACAGTAGTGATATCCTCGCTGTGGAGATATGAATTAAATTGATTGGAATGTGTGAATTAATCTGGATAGGATAGGTAGTGAGTCCCGGTGTTTCTCCCAGAGCTTTCTCCCATTGATTTAAACCCGACACTTTAATTTGCTTGTTTAGTTGATTTTGCTAGTAGTTAATAATCGCATTAAACCATTTTCACCTATAGTTTGCTCTATTAAATCGGTAAATCTTAAGGTTGTACCAGTCCCTGAGAGACGATACCCGGACTTTCCGGTTTACTACAAGATAGGAATTGAAGCTATACGCTTTTGCCCTATCATAGATCAACAATGCCGCAAACTTGTCGAAGCCGGTTCCAAATATCCTTGCAGAATTCACAGTCAACGAGGGGATGAACAGTTGTTTCTTCCATCTTGCCGCACATCTCACACCTGTTAGCGAGAGACCATCCTCGTTTCTTCAAGTTGTCAAGCGTAAGGATTTTCTTGTGTGACACGAGCCAAACGAAAGCACACACTTTGCTAGGTATGATCTTCCTCCAAAAAGAGTCGACTGGGGATTGCAGGAGTCCCGGGAAGCGTGCTTTGACAAGTAACCTGTAAAAAGATCGAACAGAGAAGGAAGAATCTGGCTGGGGAGTCCAGATGATTCTACTCGGCCCATTACTAGCCAAAGATACATTAGTACTGTTAAGAGTATCAATAAGGATTATTATTATTATAGTTAGTAGAGATTTAGTCATATTAGGATTATTATTAGGGTTTTTCAGTATTTTCCTATAAATATGTACTTTGGGTTTACGTCATAATCAGTCAAGAAGACTATTAAGAAGAATCTCCTAAACCCTAGTTTCTCCTCTCAACTCCTAATTTCTACCTCTCCTAATCCAAGGCCTCGGCCGATTCCCAATTTTATTATGTTCTTTCTCATCTAAATCCCTAATTCTTTCTCTCGATCCTTAAATCTCTAATTGTTACGAGTAATTGCGGGTGCTGAAGATCAGTCCCTAGAATCCATAGAAGCGGGGTTCTCACAATGGTATCAGAGCCTGGTTGTGGCACTCGTACCATGGTTCCGACCAACTTCGAGCTCTCAATTAGAGAACTCACCAAAATCTTGAAGTTGAAGTTGGAAGAGGTAAGGAAGAACGAGGTTGCCTCGTCCTTGCCGCTGTTTGGGAACATTGAGCGGGCAGCTCCACCCAAAGTCGTAGTCGTCGCGTAGAAGGATCCGATGAAGGAAGACTCACCGCCATTGTTGAAGGCTGCCGTCGCAGAAATTGAGTTCGAAGATTGGTTGGAACCGTCTGCGTTTCCAATCAAGCTCGAGCGAGGTGGAACTGCACCACCCATTTGCTGGCGACGGTGGAGGAGTTGATGGAGGCGGATTCACCGGGCACAAAAGACACGCCAACACTACCAAGCATCATTGCTGTGAGGACCGAGAGTGAGCCGCTGCAATCACCATCGGTATCGGGAGCGCTTGCCGCTGAAGTCGCCGCTACCCCGCACAAGAAGAAGGAGCGGGGCGAAGCTTTAAAGATCACGGTCCCTGTGATGGTTGAAGAAGAAGAGGGATCGGCTGGCGAGACCCTTGTCGATCGACAGCAGCCCTTGGCGCTCTTTCGAATTGCCTCGCCAACCGACCTAGACAAAGAAAAAGCGGAGGTGAAGAACGGCAACAAATCGCCGCGGGGTGAAGCAGTTGGAGATTCAATCTTCTTCGTTACGTCGTCGCCAACCACCATCGAGGTTGTCCCAATGTCAATCAAGGCTGCTTCCAGACCCATGCCAGTCTAATTGAATCTCCTAATTGACTGGTGGAAGTTCCGAAAGAAGCAGCAACGACCAACGATAACTCTGGCTACAATGGCCGCGATCGCCCAATCCGACACAAACGACGAGGTTCGGATGGTCGAGAGCCTGGAGGCCCAGTCTAGGGAGGAAAGTCTTGGAACCAGCATCGATAGAAGATGTAGACCAGAGGATTCGGCGTTCGGCGGGGCGGATGATGAGGAGAAGCCGAAGGCGAGGTCGGCGGCAAGCTCGCCTCCTCGCCGCGGTATGGATCTCTCGCCGGAGAACGAGTTGCAGGAGAGGTCGTCTGAGAGGGATTCGAGGAGGAAGGAGAAAGGGAACAACGATAGCTCTTTCTCCTGCGAGCT